TCGTACAGACCATAGCGTACATCAAGCTTCCGATAGCTGAGGCGTAAGGTACCTGAGCCATACTCTCTTTCTCTTCTTCTGACTGAGGAGACTGATCCTTCGACAGACGAAAATGGCTAGCCAAGGGTGTGCTCACAGGCTTGGCATCGCCCATGTTGAATCTCTGCAAAACACGGTTGATGTACTCTGTCTGAGATAACTGCAAGAGATCTCTCTTCTTATCTCTCGTGATTTGCATTCCGAGGATCTTCTTCGCTGGACCCAAGTCCTTCATGTCAAACTCCTTTGACAGCTGCTGCTTCAAACTCTTGATATCTTTCATATCTGCTCCTGCAACCAACATATCATCAACATACAGCAGTAGGATGATATAGCTGGACTGATATCTTTTGAAGTAGCAACAGTGGTCGGCGTTACACTTCTGGAAACCTTCCTTGTGCATGAAGCCGTCAAACTTCTTGTACCACTGCCTTGGGGCTTGTTTCAGGCCATACAAGCTCTTCTTGAGTCTGCACACCAGGTTCTTCTTCTTTTCTTCTGAGAAACCTTCTGGTTGATGCATGTATATCTCCTCTTCTAGATCTCCGTGAAGAAACGCCGTCTTCACGTCTAACTGCTCGAGATGAAGATCTTCAATTGCTACAATACTCATCACGGTCCTGATAGTATTTAGCTTCACCACGGGAGCGAAAATATCGGTGTAGTCAATTCCTTCCTTCTGCTGGAAACCTTTGACAACTAGCCGGGCTTTATATCTTCTGGAACCATCCTGCTCCTCTTTCACCCGGTACACCCATTTGTTGTGGAGTGCCTTCTTACCCGTGGGCAACTCAGCTAGTTCCCACGTCTGGTTTGATATGAGAGACTTCATCTCATCTTTCATTGCAAGCTCCCACTTGCTCGCATCTCCACACTGACAAGCTTCATCAAAGCTTTCAGGCTCCCCACCATCTGTCAACAACAGATAGTTCATGTATCTCCTGTTGGGTACAGGAGGACGAGAAGATCTTCTTAATATCGGAGCTGGTGCGTCGGGCTCCTGCGCACCATCTTGTCCAACAGGCTCTTCTTGCTGAGGACCCTCTGCATTGGGTTCTTCCGAGAGGTTACTCGGGACATCATCTGCATCTATAAATGTGGACTCGCTCTCTGAGTCATCAGTCTTGTGCATGTCCTTGTACATCACCTTCTCGTTGAATATCACATCTCTGCTCCGGATCACCTTCTTGTTTTCGTTGTCCCAAATGCGGTAGCCGAACTCATCTTCACCATAGCCGATGAAAGTGCATTTCTTTGACTTGGGATCAAGCTTATTCCTGCCTTGATCACTAATATGCACGTAAGCTACACAACCGAAAACTTTTAGATGTGAGAGTTTTACCTCCTTTCCGCACCATACCTCCTCTGGTATTCTGTGCTCCAATGGAACCGATGGACCTCGGTTGATCAAGTAAGCTGCTGTGTTGACCGCTTCTGCCCAGAACTGCTTCGGTAGGCCTGACTGTACTCGAATGCTTCTGGCTCTCTCCGTCAACGTTCGGTTCATTCGCTCAGCTACACCATTTTGCTGAGGCGTGCCGGGCACGGTTCTCTCCATTCTGATCCCGTGCTCATAGCAGAACTTCTTGAATCCGGTGTCTTCATACTCACCGCCATTGTCGGTCCTGAGCTTCTTTATTCTCAGACCGGTCTCATTCTCGACCATAGCTTTCCATCTCCTGAAAGCCTCAAATACTTCTGACTTATGCTTCAGAAAGTAGACCCACACTTTCCGAGAGTGATCATCGATAAAAGTCACGAAGTAGTGTTTTCCACCAATGGACGCGGTGGTTGTTGGTCCCCACACATCTGAGTGAACGAGCTCTAGCTTCTGCTTCCTGGGGGTTCTGCCACTTGTCTGAAAGCTGACTCTCTTCTGCTTTCCAAGTATACATTCTTCACACATATCCATCTCCACTGACTGCAGTCCTGGGAGTTTCCCCTTTGTGTGCATGATTTTCATCCCCTTTTCACTCATATGACCGAGTCTCTGGTGCCACAGCTTTGAAGTCTCATTGCCTGCTGCAACTGAGATCAAACAACGTGCACCTGCTGTCATATACAGGGTACCAGTCTTCTTGCCTCGGGCAATCGTCATTGCGCCCTTTGAGATCTTCCAATCATCTCCATGGAAGGTTGTGGTGTATCCTTCGCCAGCCAACTGGCCTACGGATATTAAATTCTTTCTCAGGTCGGGAATATGCCTGACATCCTTCAGCTCCCATACTGACCCGTTCAACTTAATTTTCACCACGCCTTTGCCCACAATAGCACATGGTTGATCATCACCAAGATATACGTATCCAAGATTTCCGGGGGTATACTTCTCGAAGAATTCTTTCTGAGAGGTAGCATGGAACGACGCTCCTGAATCTAACACCCAAGATTCCTCCTTGCTCTCCAAAGAGCATATCAATGCGTCGTCTCCTCCTGAAGTGGAGGTGACATTCACCTCTGCCTTCGCCTCCTTCTCCTTCTGTGCACTCTTGCACTGATTCTTGTAATGCCCGGTCTTTCCACAATTCCAACACTCGATAGCCTTCGAGCTGTTGCTTGGATTCCTTGATTTGGACCTCCTGTCCTTTGATCTACCTCTGAAGTTTGATTTTCCTCGTCCGTTTCCTCTGGTTGAATTTCTACCTCTTGACTCTGTATGCAATACTGAAGAGGTTGTAGCTTCACCCGTTTCTCTCCGTCGGATCTCCTCACTGAGAACCAAATCACGAACGTCGCCGAACTTCAACTTTTTCTTTCCCGATGAGCTACTCACTGCCGTGACTGTAGCGTTCCAACTCTCTGGTAGGGAAGACAACAATATCAACGCCCGAACTTCTTCATCAAACTCAATCTCAACTGAACTCAATTGGGTTGTAACCGTATTAAGTTCATTGAGGTGTTGTGCTACTGACGCGCCTTCCGCCATTTTCAGATTGAATAACCGCCGCATTAAATGAACTTTATTTGCGGCTGATGGCTTCTCATACATATTTGAGAGAGCTGGCATAAGACCTGCCGTGGTCTTCTCCTTCGCTATGTTGAACGCAACATTGCGAGTCAACGTCAATCTGATAACTCCGAGGGCTTGTCTATCTAGAAGGTTCCACTCTTCTTCCTTCATAGAATCTGGCTTCTTCCCCGATAGTGGTTGATACAGATTTTTCTGATACAGATAATCCTCTATCTGCATTTTCCAGAATCCGAAATCTGTTCCATCAAATTTCTCAAGTCTCATTTTTGCCTCATCTGTTGCCATGGCTCCCTACTTGAATCTGACTTGTTCTAGATCGTTTCACGCTCTGATACCAGTTGTTAGGAATTTAACCGCCTAAATCCCTAATGCAACAGAGGGCAAGAGGGGGGGTTTTATAGGCGGGATTGTGGGCTGGCGACAGACGACGGCCCACCCAAACGCGAGGGTGGGAACGCTGCAACGCCGAGGTCGGTGTTTTGGACGCGAGCGTCGGAGCTGGACGCGAGGGTCGAGCTGCTCAACGCGATGATCCGCCAAATCGAGGGTCGCGTTCGTCGTGGCTGAGGGTCGCGTTTTCGACTGAGGGTCGCGACATCTCCGAGCTCGTCGGAGCTCCTCGTCGCCGGCGGAGGTTGGTTTCCACCCCCAATTCTAACACGCACGACCTTAACAATCAACCTGAGAAGTACATTGGTAATGTAGCTACTCATCATGATTTTTCTGAAATAGAAGGGCTTGGTAAATTTGCTAAGAAGTTGTTTGTAGAAAATTAGGATATTTTATATCCTTTGGTGTAAGTTGGTGTTGGCACTAATCTTACCCGTTGCACCGACACGTGTTGAAAGAGGATTTCACCATTAAAAATTATTAATAGTGACCTTCGGAACAGAATGGGATATGAGTATATGACTAATTGTGGTACCTTATATTTGGATAATATATATTTTTGCAATATTAATGAGAAAGATGTCTTGAGTTTCAGAAAATGAATGCAATAAGAGTGTTATTGTAAACACTATTCTAACTTGAGATGTGGTTTTGAAAGTTGTATTATGTGATGATGTTTAGATGTCATCATGTCAATCAATTGTTCAAAAAATATTTTATATGTTATCGCGTCAAATTGTTTTTTGACCCCCCTGGAATTCCTGGCTCTGCCACTGTAGTGATAGGAAGATATTTCTCTTACTTCGACCTGCTTTACTGGTCAAGCTTGGTCTTGAATTCTTCACTTTTTGAATCTTGGTTTTGCAGATTTGCAGGGTTACTTTTTCTTATTTGCAGATGTAATGGGTGCTGCATAGAGATCAATATTTAGTTAAATAAATGCTAAGTCTTCCCCTTCTTTTCTTTGTCTTTCTCATAAACATTAGTTACGAAGGAGATTGAAGTTTTGCATGCAAATTTTTAGCATATCAAGGAAAATGATCCACAAGCGTATAAATAACGCTATGGTGCCTGACTACTAGTGCTATATTTCTCATTTTATATATTCTTACTTGAATAGAACGGATTGGTTTTTTTTTCCGGGCATCTTTCATATAAGGTACTATACAAAGTTCTAGAAAAATGGACAAGGAGATGGCAATCTAGGATTCAGACCGTTCCGGCTTGAATGCATGTCAATCTTGACACAAACTTGATCCTGACAACATTATAATAGAGATATAACGACTTCAAGCTATTTTATTGGGTATTTTGACATATTCTCCTTTCTAACCTTCAGTGATTTTATCTAAATTCCTTGACTGTCATATAACCCTATCAGATGTAACATATATACATTCTACTGATACTTCTAACAGTAATGTCGCATGTTTTTTAAGTTCGACACGCCTCCTGTTTTTGCACTTAGGGCCCGTCTTTCAATTATTACCTATCACAGATATCATTTCAAAATTTATGTCCGCCCACCAATTAAAGCTATCTAATTTGCATTAAATTTCAAGTTTTTTTAGTGTATTCTGAAGTTTATCATTAAAATTTGCAGGTTACACTCTTTTCCTTGCACTTGTTATTGATCGATTACACCACTACCTCAACAAAATGCTCACTCTTCGGAAAACAGCGTCTTCTTCGAGGGAAGAAGTAGAAAGACTTAGAAGAGATTCCAAAGAAAAGGAGGACAAATCATTGAATGAGGTGAAGAAGCTCAAGGATGAAATTAGTAGCCTAAATGAAAAGTTACGAAAGCTCAAATTGGAATCTAAAGAGCAAGAGAAAAGAGCCCAAGAAGCTGAAGCCCATGTTTCCTCTCTACAGAAGCAGTCTGAAGAATTGCTTCTCGAATATGATCGCCTTTTGGAAGATAATCAAATTCTTCAGGGTCAAGCTTTGTCCTTGAGAGGATGAGAACTTCATGGAAGTAACGGAGAGAAAAAAGGTTAAAGTTTCTTGTTGGTGGAAACTATGTTTGATCTTCGCGGTTTTCTTTTAGTGGTGCTGTAAATTTTAACGTACATAATTGAATTGGTTCTGAACATGGATAGCAGTGATTTTACATTAAGTGTGTTGTGATCTGGTTCTCAGTATTATTAATGTAAGTCTCTTCATGAAAGTTAATGCTTCCTTTTTTTTAAGGAATCAAAAGCGATTCTATTACATTGCATCAAGAATCATTTGATTACAGATATAGTGTGGACCATCCCAGACATTTGAGAAGGAGGTACATTTGTATCAGTTAGCAAATTGAGCTAATAAATGTGTATGTATATTACCCAAGCGACGAACATGTTGGGAATTTAACGCCTAAACCTCTAATGCAACAGAAACGCAGAATAGAGAACAGTACACAAGATTTACGAGGTTCGGCAACTGCCTACGTCCTCGGGAGCCACACAGTCAATTTCTTATTTAATCTAACAAGAAATTACAAATCTAGAGCAAATCTCTAAACTGAGATTCCTCAAATGATCACTGTAGCTACAGTGTTAATACCCACAATAAAATCCCCTCTTCTCTTTTCTCTCTCTTCTTAAATCACTTTCTTTATCTCCCCTCAAATCACTATTTGAGAGCTGGAGATCAAAAGTAAAATGTCCGACGCGAGGGTGGGAGGCGAACGCGGGGGTCGGTGTCGAGGGTCGCGTTCGTCGAGCGAGGGTCGCGTTCGTCCAAAGCCACCATCGCGTTCGCCCAAAGCTCGAGCTCACCTGTGCGTCTTCGACTTCGCCTGAAGCCGCCGCGACTTTGAGCTCACCTCGCCTGCAGCTCCGCTCGCCTGCGGAGGTTTGGTCTCCACTTGATCTCAACAATCTCCCATTTGGAGATCAAACTGACAACAACAGGCTATCCCATCAAGCTCCTCTCTTGTGTGGCTCCGCCCTCATCATCTATGCATGAAGGCCAACTGAAGTTGCGCACAACTCCAGTTTCTGAAAGGTCACTACCTTTGTCAACATATCCGCTGGATCATTTCTTCCTTGGATATTCTGTTGAAATCCTTTGACAACTCGTCGGGCTCTGTATCTTCTGGAACCACCTTGTTCCTTCTTCACTCGATACACCCACTTGTTGTGACGTGCCTTCTTCCCCATGGGCAACTTAGCTAGTTCCCATGTCTGGTTGGAGATCAAAGATTTCATCTCTTCTTTCGCAGCAAACTCCCACTTGCTCGCATCTCCACTCTGACAAGCTTCATCAAAGCCTTCAGACTCTCCTCCATTTGTCAGCAACATATAATTCATGTATCTGCTGTTAGGCACAGGAGGACGAGTAGTTCTCCTCAATATCGGAGCTGGTGCGTCGGGCTCCTGCGCACCGTTCTGTCCAACAGGCTCTTCTGGCTGAGGACCTTCTGCATTGGGTTCTTCCGAGAGGTTATCCGGAACTTCATCTGCATCTACAAATGTTGACTCGCTCTCTGAGTCATCGTCATCTATCTTGTGCAGGTCCTTGTACATCACCTTCTTGTTGAATGTCACATCTCTGCACCTGATCACCTTCTTGTTTTCGTTGTCCCAAATGCGGTAGCCGAACTCGTCTTCACCATACCCGATGAATGTGCATTTCTTAGACTTGGGATCAGGCTCATTCCTGCCTTGATCACTTATATGCACATAAGCTACACAACCGAAAACTTTGAGATGTGAGAGGGTTACCTCCTTTCCGCACCATACCTCTTCTGGTATTCTGTGCTCCAATGGAACCGATGGACCTCGGTTGATCAAGTAAGCTGCTGTGTTGACTGCTTCTGCCCAGAACTGCTTTGGTAGACCTGACTACATCTGAATGCTTCTGGCTCTCTCTGTCAACGTTCTATTCATACGCTCAGCCACACCATTGTGCTGAGGCGTGCCGGGCACGGTCCTCTCCATTCTGATATCGTGCTCATAGCAGAACTTCTTGAATCTGGTGTCTTCATACTCACCACCATTGTCTGTTCTGAGTTTCTTTACCCTCAAACCGGTCTCATTCTCGACCATGGCTTTCTATCTTCTGAAAGCCTCAAACACTTCTGACTTTTTCTTCAGAAAGTAAACCCATACTTTCCGAGAGTGATCATCAATAAAAGTCACGAAGTAGTGTTTCCCACCAATCGACGCGGTGATTGGTGGTCCCCAAACATCTGAGTGAACAAGCTCTAGCTTCTGCTTCCTAGGGGGCTGCCACTTGTCTGAAAGCTGACTCTCTTCTGCTTTCCAAGTATGCATTCTTCACACATATCAATCTCTACTGATTGTAAACCTGGGAGTTTTCTTTTTGTGTGCATAATCTTCATCCCCTTCTCACTCATATGACCGAGTCTCTGGTGCCACAGCTTTGAAGTCTCATTGCCTGCTGCAACTGAGATCGAACAACGTGCACCTGCTGTCATATACAGGGTACCAGTCTTCCTACCTCTGGCAATCGTCATTGCGCCCTTCGAAATCCTCCAGTCATCGCCATGTCGTGTAGCCTTCACTAGCCAGCTGGCTTACTGAGATTAAGTTCCTCTTCAGGTCGGGAATATACCTGACATCCTTCAGCTCCCATACTGACCCATTCAGCTTAATCTTCACTACACCTTTGCCAATAATGGCACATGCTTGATCGTCACCAAGATATACATTTCCAAGGTTTCCGGGGATATACTTCTCGAGGAATTCTTTCTGAGAAGTAGCATGGAATGATGCTCCCGAGTCCAATACCCAAGACTCCTCCTTGCTCTCCAAAGAGCATATCAGCGCATCATCTCCTCCTGAGGTGGAGGCAACGTTCACATCTACATTTGCCTTCCACTCCTCCCGTGCACTCCTGCACTGATTCTTGTAGTGCCCGGTTTTCCCGGACTTCCAACACTCGATAGCCTTCGAACTGTTGGGATTTCTGGATTTGGATCTCCTGTTATCTGATCCATTTCCTCTGGTTGAAATTCTACCTCTTGACTCTGTATGCAATACTGAAGAGGTTGTAGCTTCACCCGACTCTCTCCGTCGGATCTCCTCACTGAGAACCAGATCACGAACGTCGTCAAACTTCAACTTTTTCTTTCCCGACGAGCTACTCACAGCTGTGACTGTAGCGTTCCAACTCTCTGGTAGGGAAGACAAAAGGATCACCGCTCGAACTTCCTCATCAAACTCAATATCAACTGAACTCAATTGGGTCGTGACTATATTGAGTTCATTGAGATGATGTGCTACCAGTGCACCTTCCGCCATTCGCAGATTGAATAACTGCCTCATCAAATGGACTTTATTTGAGGCTGATGGCTTCTCATACATATTTGAGAGTGCTGCCATAAGACCCGCTGTGGTCTTCTCCTTTGCAATGTTAAAAGCAACATTGCGGGTTAACGTCAAACGAATAACCCCGAGGGCTTTTCTGTCTAGAAGATTCCAATCTTCTTCCTTCATACCCTCCGGCTTCTTCCCCGAGAGAGGTTGATATAGATTTTTCTAATACAGATAATCCTCTATCTGCATTTTCCAGAATCCGAAATCTGATCCATCAAACTTCTCTATTCTCACCTTTCCCTCATCTGCGGCCATGGCTCCCACTTGAATCTGACTTCCTCTAGATCGTTTCACGCTCTGATACCAGTTGTTGGGAATCTAACGCTGAAACCCCTAATACAACAGAAACGCAGTATAGAGAACAGTACACCAAGATTTACGAGGTTCGGCAACTGCCTACGTCCTCGGGAGCCACACAGATAATTTCTTATTAATTCTAACAAGAAATTACAAATCAAGAGCGAATCTCTAAACTGAGATTAGCGACAGCCTGTCGCCAGCGGATGTCCGACGCGAGGGTGGGAGGCGAACGCGGGGGTCGGTGTCGAGGGTCGCGTTCGTCGAGCGAGGGTCGCGTTCGCCCAAAGCCACCATCGCGTTCACCCAAAGCTCGAGCTCACCTGCGCGTCTTCGACTTCGCCTGAAGCCGTCGCGACTTCGAGCTCGCCTCGCCTGCAGCTCCGCTCGCCTGCAGAGGTTTGGTCTCCACCTGATCTCAACAGAACATGGCCGGCATATAAAAGATTTAAAGAGAGTCTAGCATTCATCAAAGATTGATTAGAGATGTTGCGGGTAGGTGATTACTCCGTGTAGCATGAGCACAAGGACAAGGCAAATAGATTCGAAAATATTATCCATCCAGCCATACTTTAGCACAAGGCATAATCCCATGAGTAGAGTGAGCTTCAGCATGCGGGGGAGGGGGCGGTGGTAGAGGAGGACCAAAGGTATTATAGAGAGAATGTGGTTGTCAAGATGATCCGAGCAATTATCCTAAAAGCCGCGCAATCAAGGTTTTAGGCAGCATGACATTAATTTCCACCTTGTTCAAATGTGGAGCTATCCGCGAAGAGGGTGAACAAATGTTGAAAAGGGATCCAGAGGTTGTCCAAGCCAAGAGAATGAAAACGGGAATAAACCTCCACAAGAGTAAGAGTGGCAATTGGAGAAGGTTTTGTACCTCGGGGAAAATAGCGTTGCATCTGGATTTCCAAATAAACCACAAAATCACGACCAAAGCTGCTACGGGGAGATTATGAATTGGTGAGTTGAAGGGAGGCTTCATTCCTTGCATCTCTTATACTTTTTGAAGCTTTCTGAGGTAAGGATGCATGAATGGACCAAGAGGCGGCGATAGTCTTGATGAAGTTTGGATGACTGAGCCACCGAACTTCTAGTCTGAAGGCCTTCTTTTTAGTTTTTTGTTTGCTGACGAGGGAGACCAGGGTAGAGCAGTGATCGCTGCCTGTACGTAGCTAGGAGGTGGAGGACAGCCGCGGAAGGGAAAGCGAGTCTCCAATCATCTGTCAAGCCATTCTTTGACGTTTAAGTGAGCTTGACGTCAGTTCGACCAAGTAAAAGCCAGACCATCATAGCCTAAAACTATCAGAGCAGAGTTGGAGATGGAGGAGTTGAAATCACAAGGATCAGATGGGGAAGGAGTTTTGCCTCCAGCTTTCTCATCAGGGGAGAGAATAGCATTGAAATCGCCAATGCACACCCGCAACCTAGAGAAGGATGAGGCCAACTGAAGAATATTGTTCCATATTAACTTTCTTTCTTTGTAGGAGCTCCATAGATAGGCCTGTCCATCCGGGCCGGCCCGGCCCAACCCGACCCGAAAATCCAGGCCCGGGCC